CAACTCCTTCCAGGTAACAATACCAAACTGCCAAGCACTGTTTCACTGTGCTTGGTGCTGCAGAAATATCAAAACATTTAGAGAGGAGATCAGAGTTACATATAAGGAAATGTTCCTTTCCTTTCCTTTCATTTCCTTTCCTTTCCCTATAAATTTGCTAATACAAGTTGCCACAAGAGGGAGAAAGAGTCCACAAAATGTATCTCAACACTTTAAACGAGCACACACCCAAATAATAATAAACACCAAAGGGAATTTTATTAAAATAATAATTTCTTACTTATCACACTGTTACATTCAGACTTCTCCATTACATACACCATAATCCAAAGATGAAAAAAACCCTCCAAAATAATAATTTCATGCCTCTAAAATACATTTGGGCTCAAGTTTAATTAAAAGTGCATTTCTGGGGTGAATCCGACAGCCAGAATAATTCTAATATTGAACCCCGGCTGGTGGAAAATATTAATTCTCATATTTCAAATTAGGCAAACCTGCTGAGTGGAAGGTATTTAAATAGGTGTGTCAGTTCAAATCCTGAAACTTACCATGCAATAAATTTTAATTTCACCACTCATATTAAATCCAATTTTAATAATGTCTCTATTAAAGATCCGAGATTAGATCTGTAACGACAGAGTCTAATCTCTTTTAATGGAATGCCTTTAATATGCCAGTTTCTCTTTATTGTATTCCTGTAGATCAAATTCAATATAGATGTGTTGGGTTTTTTTCTACATCCATGCTCTGTCTGCCCTTTTTGTATTCTTGTCCCCCCTTTGTTACACCGAGTTCCACTTGCACATGTACTTATCTATTTTATTATTTTCATTTTTGAGTATTGAATAGTGCTGCAGTGCGCGTCTGCTTTGACATTTGACAGACCATTCTGCTGCACACACAAATCCTCATTTGGAAAACACAAACCTTTTGTGAAATGCTCTGGATTCTTCAGCTTCACAATGTACTGTGCGGATTTCAAGGAAGGAAATGCAGACAGCTGCTAATATGATAGACTCACAATATGTGAGTCATCAAGCTTGTGCAGTGAGTTCCTTGAATGATCTAAATCTTGCCTAATTTTATCTGTTCATGGAAGGCATGCCTCAATTCTCCAAGATCCTAACAATCACAAGAATCTCCACAATTTGAGAATGAGGCTTCAATGCAGTGCTTGGCAGAAATATTAGGCCGCAATGTTCCAGCAGCGGCTGTGCCGAACATGACCTCTCATTTTGTGTCACTGACTTACAATTGCAGTACTTCACAGATGTCAGTGCTGTCAAGTGTTGTCATCAGCATGTGTGAGCTCGATGTGTAAGGCTGACAAGCAATTTGTGGAGCAGGCCTGTGATTGGTTGGACTCTAGAGGCGAACATGATTTGGGATTCAAGCCACCTTGCCGTGCAGAAAGTCACTTCTCACGGTGAAACGTTCCTTCTTTTCCTCATTATCCATCATTTCCAAGTCACTTTGTTGTGGCATGAAACAAGCACCATTAATAACAATGATGACCTATTTTTGTTTTTGAGGACAGATCACAAGAAGTTGATGGCATTTGGGTTTTGCCTCATAATCAAATTCTGTTGAACAAATGGAGTGTGTGAAAGTGTTGGATGTTTCAGGTCACCCAATGACAGAGGGCATAGAGAACCTGAGAGGTGCGTGGGCTTGACTCAGTTAGCACCATGGGGTGACTCGCAGAGACCTAACACTTGGGTTTTGACTGTTTCAGGACCATAGACAGCGCACAGCAAGGCCCACTGCCTATGCTGCCATCCAGTGGACAAATGCATGACAATTCTTTAAATAAAGTTGACTATTTTGGCTTTTCTTTCTGTGGCTTGACATTAACAAATTAACACAAGACACATCAGAATCAGAATCAGAATCAGAATCGTGTTTATTGGCCATGTATATGCGCAAACACATACAAGGAATTTTGGTTCCAGTAGTTGGTGACTCTCAAGCACAGCAATGTAAATCACAACAATATGTAAACGACACAATACACACACACACACTGTATGAAGACAGCAAGAGAGTGATGAGTTCTGGGGTAGAATTGACAGATGGGTTTCAGGAGGGAGTGGGGTTATATCATGGACCAACTCTGTGCCTCTTCTTGTTTGCGATGGTTTACAGATGAGGTCAGGCAGGAGTCTTTGTGGACTATGATTTCTGCAGATGACATTGTAATCTGTAGTGAGAGAAGAGAGGAGGTGGAAGAAAGCCTGTAGAGGTGGAGGCATGCTCTGAGAGAAAAGGAATAAAAGTCAGTAAAAGCAGGACAACTACAAGTGTGTGAATGAGAGTGAGACAAGTGTAACAGTCACGATGCAAAGAGCAGAGGTATTGTAGATAGATGAGGTTAAATACCTGGGGTCAACCATCATAAGCAACAGACAGTACACAAGAGAGATGATAAAGAGAGTGCAGGCAGGGTGGAGTGGGTGGAGATGACTCAACAGACTGACAAAAGAGTACCATAACACAAGAAATACCTTTTAGCAGAAAGGTGATTCAGTTCATGTGAACACACTGCTTCCTGTTCCCAATGTAAACACTGTGAAATGAACCAAACCTTTACCTGGATGACTAAACATGCATCAAGTGTCATTTGTTTCAGTGGGACAACAAACTAAAAAGCAAACCAGGGAATTAACAGTGCTCTCACT